ATTTATTTTCTTCTAGTTCTGGAGGCTAGAAGCACAAAATTCAAGTGTTGGCAGGACTGTGCTCCCTCTGAAGCCTCTAGAGGAGCTACTTCCTTGCTTCTTTCAACTTCTGGGAGTCCCAGGCATTCCTTGGCTTGTAGGGAATCCAATCCCCCATTTTCAAATAGCATTTTCCCTGTGTCACTGTGTCTTCATCTGGCCATCTTCTTAAAAGGACACCAGTCATATTGGATTAGAAGTCCTCTCTACTCCAGTATGATCTCCTCTTAACTACTTATATTTGCAACAACCCCATTTCCAAATAAGGAACCATTTTGAGGTACCAGGGATTAGAACTTCAATATATCTTTTTTTGGGAGGGCACAATTCAACTCATAATAGCACCTAACAAATATTAGTTGAATGGATAAATAAGATGACTCTTGAACTGATGTTTCTCATTAATATAAATGGGATTGACTGTAGTGTATTCTGTAGGGGAGACCAAGAACTAAAGCCCAAGGCCAAGGCAAAATCTATTATTTCTACATCTTTAAGTTTTGCTGTGGTTTCAAATTGATAGAAGGCATGTACTCAGCAACTAAAAAAGACACTAGCATAGACTCAAACACACCCTTTTAAAAATCCCTGTTTTTCGAGTCACCATACATTGTCTGAGGATTGTGTCAAAGCAGAAATAGAGTTCCTACTTGCATTCTCCAGGATCAGATGTGGGCCAAAATAAAAGAAAATGCTCTGAAAGGAAAAGGAAAAGGGTTTCCTAGTACAGGGTGTGGTGGGATCTAAAGAAAGGTACTGACAACATCAATATCTAATATTTATTAATACTTAAATGATTTTATATATGAATATCTAGGGTAATATGCGTTTTCTCATCAGTCTTGTCTTTGTTTAAATTCAGATAAGGATCAGTTTGCAAGGGTAGCAGGTGACTTTAACAGTGTGGGTTCTGAACCCCGCTCCTCTGCTCACTAGCTGTGTGCACTTGTGCAGCTTCTCTGCACCTCAGTTTCCTCATCTGTATAATGGAGATGGTAGTGGAGGTACCTTCCAGAGGGCTGTTATGGAAATTGTATGATTCGGTTGTATAAAGCACATAGACTTGAGTCAGCTACGTGGTAAGGACTCAATAAATATTAGCTACTGTTTTCATTATATGCTAGCCATTTGCCTCACTTCAACTAAATATGATAACATGTAAAGGTTTTCACAATATTTATTATAGTTTTAAAGTCTTATGCAAGTTGGCTTTTATTCATATACTGTATCTACTATGAAAATAAAATCTCTTAGCCTGTCATGAATGGCATAATTTTTAATCATGCCGAAAGACCTCCCATATCCTACTGACCCACCAGAACTAACCCAAGGGAGCCGGCAGTCCATATAACTCTTCTTTGCAGAAAGGTCAAACCTCACCATACTAAGAAACATCTATTTCCATTGATCAAAGATAAATCATTAAAATTCCAAAATTAACAATTATTATAAATGATAAAAGTAAATAAATTACTATCAACCCCCCCCCAATTGATGAATATCCATTTCTAGAAAGACAAGCAGAGAGACAAGAGGTGAAGAAAGATTACATGGCTTAATTTGCTCTGATGAGAAATGGTTCAGAAATAGCAAACTATGTCATGACAAGGGATAGTTTGTGTGCTGGGGTGACAGAGCTGGGCTGATCCCAGAACGTGCCCTCCTTTATCATGGTAGGGAAGCTCCTTGATAATACTTTGATTTATTGACAAGGGAATGATCCCAAACTGATACCTTTTCTGCCTATATGTTCAGATAAATAATGTCAATCCAAGAAGAAGACTGTGCAGGACTAAAAGCTAGAATATTCTTTCCCCAGAAATAGTGTCCCAAACCATAATATCCATTTTTAAATGTATTTCTATTAAAGGTGTTTACTACTCTGAATCTTTGTCAGTGTATTTACAATGAGTTTAACTAAGCATTTATCTTTTTGAAAAATATCCAAAAAGTTGTCACTGCAATCCTCACCTGCTATTAAAAGGCTAATAAGTTCCCAGTCTTCTCACTCGGTCTTTAATTTTTTTTTATAAAGATAAAATCAAACTATTAAGACATAGAGACCAACCCAGATACAATGTGGGAGGGGACATGCAGGCTGCGCATGCCAGGAGGAGGAGATTACTGAGAGCCATCTTGGAGGCTGGCTACCCAAATTGTGGAGATACATATGATTTACCCATAACGTAGACTTTTGGAGGAGGTAGCATATGTATTTCACGTTTCCAGTGAAATATATCTTCCTTTCAAAAAATAGAATGGCATGAGAAAAAAATGTTTAATGTTTTAGTGTTATTGTCACACTGTTTTCTTTAGCCTATTTTGATAATTGACATGACATTTCTAGAGGATCCCTTAAACAATTATAAAACATGAAGCAAGATGTCTGTTGAACCAATGAGCATTAAAGATTCACAGCACGTTCCAGAGCATGGTTCATTTCAGAATAGCAAAATTGCTTTATTTCCTCCTAACAAGGAGCAAGAAAATTAAATTACCTTACCTTGAAATGAGCAATCCATTTCTTTTTTTTATTCCAGGTTATTTCTTAAAACTGTTTTGGGTATATTTTAGGCATCTTGAGAATTTTGTCAACTGCTTACTTCCATTAAAAAATAAGTAGAATGGGAACCTGGGTGGCTCAGTTGTTTAAGCAACCTACTCTTGGTTTCAGCTCAGATCCTGATCTCAGGCTCTTGAGATAGAGCCCCCACTCCCCCTCAGGCTCCGCCCTCAGTGCAGAGTCAGCCTGAAATTCTTTCCCCTCCTCCCTCTCTCTCCCCTGTCTACTCCTCCCCAATGGGCCCACTACCAGGCTCTCTTTCTGTCTCTCAAAAAAAATAAATAAATAAAATCTTTTTAAAAAAATGAACAGAAATCAGAGATGTTGAAGATAAAGATTTTTATAGATTAAACATTGGAACATATGTCTGGACTATAATATCTAACATAACTTGTGTTTTATATCTCCAAACTTAAGTTGCCACACACCGGAACATTCTAGTTTCTTATCAGTTAGTTCTATGGAGCCATGTTTTGGTAATATCTTCCATCTGTGATATTATAATACACAGTCTATTTTAATTTTCATTCTTACAAGATGCTAACCACTCTTCACATGTATGTGTCATACAAACATGTAAAACCACAGGTTTTAGATCTGAAAAGACCCTTGGAACTTTTTATGTTAAAAATGTCCCTCACTTTTGAAGCCTTGGAAAACACAATGCTTCATGGCACTGCCTGCCCCATGTTCTCGGTTTCATCCTCAAAACTCTCATTAAAAATCAGAACCTATTGATAGCACAGAGCAGTATTAAATCACTGATAATTATTCATAGCATATGATCTCCAGAAAAAAAGACCCATACCAGTTGATACACAATGGTTCCAGAGAGTTAGAGGGATAAAAATCAGAGACAGACACTGGGCCGGCTGTGTCTCTTGGAGATCTCTCTGCCCCTACCAGACACATACCCACACGGTGATCAGCTGATAGCGCTTCTCCTTGAGTATTTAACTTTCTTCTTAAAAATAAAACTGAGGTATTAAAAAAAATGATCAAGGTTAAAAGTAGGAGCCATTACAAATATAGCATGTGCACACATACCCAAACACACACTCAGCAAGCTATATTTTGGTTACCCGGCTGCATGTTAAAGAGCTTATTTTGGCTTGGAATTAGGGTTGAATTACAAAGTTTAATTCTAAAGCAAAGAATTTTTTTCTCTCTTTTCATTTGGTTTGTGGAATTACAATACCCTGTATAGAGCTAATCTTAGCCAAGGATTACCCCAAGGATAAAACTAATTTCTTTCTCTGATGGTTAGCCCCAGCCAATTTACACAAGAATTACGGGACTGTAGCTAAAATTAGACCAGTTTTTGGTGACTTAGCTAAATTTCATTTCCTAAGTTTGGTTTGCAGTATCAAAATTTTTTATTTTCCTGAAATATGTGTCTTTATGATGAGATCTGTCCTTCATAAAATCTGATTGTTTATAACCCAGGACTTTGTGGTCTCGCCAACATTTTAACATTTTGATTCTTACATGTTACCCGTGATTTTTAAAATTTATTTTGATTCAAGGATCATCTTGTTTTCTTTTATAAGAAACTGTCCTGCACTTTCCTTTTGTCCTTTTCTAATTTGTTGGTGGTGTCTCAATTCTTTCATTTCTCTACAGAAGATTCCTACAAATTAATCCTCTAGGGTACATTTTCGTAGAGCACAGTTACATGAACATACCAGCATTTAATTAAATATGTTGTCTTCTTTCACTGGTTTTTTTCTAATTGTTGCTATATTATACACTTTAGTAAAGCTAACTCTAACACCAGTCTCCAAAACTTGAGCCTTTCAGGGCCATTTATCCTAAATTTTATTTCTGTATCTAATAAGGGGATCATTTCAGTTATCTGCTGGTGCATTAACAAACTACCCAAAAATGGTTTAAACAATCACTTTATTATTTCTCACAAATCTGAGGGTTAACTGGGGCTCAGCTGGATGGTTCTTCCTTCTGGTCTCATTTGGAGTCTCTCATGCAGCTTCAGTCTATGGCAGATCGGGCTGGAGTGTGCGCAGTGGCTTCATTCCGGCCTCCTTCTTGGAAGGCTGGGCTCAGCTAGGACAACTGAACATTTCCCTCTTTGTGTGGCCTCCAGCGGAGTGGCCCAGCTTTTTACCCTGCAGCTCAGGACTTTTAAAAGGGCAAAAGTAAGAAATTGCCAGACCTTCTTAAGGCTTAGTCCCAGAGTTATTCTGCCACATTCCATTGGTTGAAGTGAGTCATCGGGTCAGCTCAGGTTTAGGAGGAATTAGGACATGAGTACAGGAAGGTGCGGCTAGTCGGGGCCATGTCTGAAGGCTGTCTACCACAGGGGTTGCGTTTTCCTTTTTCTCCATTAAGACCTTGATTCTTCTCTACTCCTTCTTCAGTTCTCTGCATCTCTGGTGGTTTACCCAAGCCTACAAATATCACCTTCTTATCCATAAACATGAGGAATATCCTACAGTGGAGTCCACCAGAGGGCCTACAAGGAGCTGAAGTTACTTACACTGTGCAGTATTTCATGTAAGTTGGTTCTTTTCCTTTTGGCTGATTTAAAAACACAAGACTCAAACACCTAGTAACTGTGCAAAGATAAACCATCTATTGTACTAACTAAATGGAAAAAAAGAGAGGTTTTAGATATTCCCTGCTAAATTTTCTTGGAATGTTCTGTCAGATTAAATTAGAAAACCATTTCTTGGTGAAGACAGAAGCATTGGGTTCTTAGGTGAGGGAAAGTCACTTAAGTGGGGAAAAGAAGTTGGTCAAAATGTTATTCTGTGGCCGAGAAAACAAGGAGGTCCATCATCTCTGAAATGTCTCAACTTATGGGAATAACAGGCATTTTTAAGTGAAACTGAGTGCAGAATTCTGTGCCACCAGCTCTTCCTGTTAAAGATAGTAGTGAATGGACATTTTCACATTTCACCTGTCCCTCAAAACTCAGTGCAAGCAAGAAAGAATGCAGAACATACAGATGATGCCCATGTTCAAGGAAACAGAGGAAATGGCTAAACCCCAAGCCACAAGCTAAGGAACATACAAGCAAAATACTGTGAAATCTAAAGGAAAACAACGGCAGAAACTGAAAGTGAATCTATGCCTTCTTAAACACCAACAGTAGAAATTTAATTTTACAAGAATAAATGTCACAGTATTAAGAAGCTTACATAACAACCTAAGGATATGGAATCTAAGGATTTCTGCCACCAGAAATTGAGGAAATGTCCCCATGAGCCCCAGTTTGGTGCCACAGAATGTCAGAGCAGAAGATGCTGAAAGAGAAATCATGTTCAAATGTCATATTCACTGTAGCGGCCCAGTCGCCCCGGTGAGGAGGGTGCAGAAGGGAGGGGAAGCGATGATGGCTGGGACTAGGGGGACTGTGACCTTACTGATGTGTCTTATGGCACATCAGCCTCCTGCCATTCCCAAATGTGAAGGTGGGCAGGCTCTCCAGCAAAGGGATAATACGATCTGGAGAGGAGGTGTGTGACATACCCTCACTCCTACACCCATTCGCCCAATATTCAATAAATAACTGGCCCTTTTCAAAGAGTAATAGTCCCAAAGAATCTGGCATAGCACCTCTCCATTATTACTGGAAGGGAGAAAGACAAGCATACACACACACACGTGAAAAGTTCCTGAAAAGCTTTCTCGTGGGAATAGAAAAATTCAGACAAATAACTGTTCATAGTTTGAGTCCATGCACAACATGATCTCTAATGGTAAATAGGAAGGAAAGAAGAAAGAAAGGGAAAGGAAAAGGAAGAAGGAAGGAAGGAAGGAAGGGAGGGAGGAAGGGAGGGAGGGAGGAAGGGAAGGAAGATGGGAGGCAGGGGAGAGAGAAAACAAACAAGCAAACATTTAAAGAAAAAAATTCTAAGACAAGGGGAAGAATTTTTAAGCAAGTGGGCAGACTTAGGGAAGAGATGGAAAATAAAAATGTTATATGGAGAGGAAAACCCTATGGCTAACTGATAGTACTTGAGCAAGTGATAGTGACTCTCTGGAGCTGCACATCACGGGTGCATGCTCAGTCTGGGAAAATGTAATAAAAACAGTAGGGAGACCTATCCTGGTGAGTTTACTGAACTTTGAGAAGATAAGGTACTTTGTGACTGTCATAGCAAGAGCAGGGCTCAAGGAGGGTGGGGGGAGGGGGATGATTTCTGTGTGGCAACACGCAACAGGAGACAGTGATACATCCTCTGAGGGAAAAAGAGGTGTGATCTAGGACTCTTAATCAAGTTCAACAGATGTATTTTCAAGCAAGTGAGATGTCAGGAGAGCCCTCCCCTGAGATCTTCCTGATGGGGAGAAAATCACTAACTAAAGATGATATCTGGCTGACAGAGGTAAAGATGAACCTAAAGGAAGAGCTTAGTACTGACGAGATTATTTGTCATTGTGAAAAGACTTGTGCATGCATTGAGACCATCTAAGTGAAGAACTGAGACTAAATAGTGATGGGAAATGTGGTTATCGAAATTTCTTATAAATGTTTGAAACCTAAACAATAATATAACAAATTAAAAGGTAGGAAAGTCTATAAGTGTACCAAGTTTCCTAGCAAGAAGCCATTAAATGTGATCTAAAATGAAAATATTTCATCTTGATAACCAAACATTCAATATTTTTCATAAGCCATTTTCTTACTTTAAAAGATCTTTTAGGAACTAATATCTTCTTGTGGTGATGAAACACCTGAACTACAACAATTCCTTTAATTTCATTTCAATTTCTTTTTCTATTAAAGTTCAAATCAGGGGACGGCTGGGTGGTTGAGTCGGTTAGGCATCTGACTCTTGATTTTGGCCCAGGTCATGATCTGCGGGTCCTGCGATTGAGCCTGGGGTTGGGTGCTGAGCTCAGCGTGGAGTCTGCTCGGGATTCTCTCTCCCCACTTGCACTAAATAAATAAATAAATAAATAAAATCTTAAATAAAGTTCAAATCAGGCTAAATTTGCAACTTTGATTAAAACCATATGTATGGTATAATCTAGTTATTGTCTGTGTATGCAGACATCTAATCATTCCTGTGTGAAGAGAGAAGCATAATGAGATGTCCAAAATCATGTATGTCAAATATTTCAGGTAATAGGTTTTAGAGTGATCTGTTTCTCTGCTGATTACACATTTCTGATTGTTCAAGTTAAAAAAAAAAGTACCCTATTAACAACAACAAAAAGAACAAAGTCATTTTTCTCTATGAAGAAAATATTCTGACCACTAAAGGCAGTGAAATACTTCAGCTGCTATTCACAATGACTTCATTTATCTAGACCCTCATTTTCATTTTCGAGGAGTTTTTCTGGAAGCTGGTGTTTTAGGAAAGAAGACATCACTCTGCAAAGAGAAATGGCTCTTGAGTATGCCCTGGCCTAAAAAAATACAGTCATCACTGCTCTGTGAGAGCAAATAATTTGTATGGTACAAATTTCCAAAATGAATAAAGAAACTTGGCACGTCGGAGGTCTTACATGCTTGTGCCTGTCCAAGATGGACGGAAATACAGAGCAGTGTTTGTCACTGACAGGGCTCCAAGCTCCAAGCTCAGCTCCAAGGCCAAACAGTCCTTGGTTTGCAGCCAGGCTGTGAACCTAGCCAGGTAACCTTGGGCAACTTACATACTATGTTTTTACACTTTGGAGTGAAGTTTGTTTCCAAGTAAAAGATGAAATTTTAACAACAGTTTAAATTCCACCTGCCAAAAGAATTTAGTGCAGAAAATATATAGTGCAATACTGAAACCACAAGCTTTGTCACAAGCTTTGGAAAAGTGGTTCAGAATTCTGGAAAGTATTTTCTCCTCCATCAACCTCTGTCATGGAAAGCTGTCCTGCACTTGGCAGGAGTGAGGAAGGTGAAGGAAAGGGGATCAAATGGGTGATGGCAGTATTTTCCAAACCATAAGTCAAGACCTGTTAATGGACCATGAAATCAGTTTTGAGGGACGTAGCTAGCATTTTTTTTAATGCAAAGGACTGGAATGGTGTGAAGTGGATTGGAATGGAAAATAACTGAATTGATGGCGTGTACTAAAGTTTAAAAAGCGTCTTATGAAACCTTTGTTTTAATATGTTAAATATATGTATGTTTCTGTGAGCTGGGTCACAACGTAAAATGGGTTTCTTCTTGTGGCTCACAGACAAAAAAAATATGAAAGCCCTTAGGCAGTGGTGACCACTTGATGGAGAAGTTGGTCAACAAGATCTTAGTTGTATTTCTAAAGTCTTCTGGCAGGTATAGTTCTTATGAAACAGGAGACATTAGCTTTCAGAAATCTGTTGGCATATTCTGAAAAGAGGAGATAACCCTTAAGCTTTGAGAACACTTGATAAAGTTCACATTTCCTCATTCTCAAGACATGCTCTTGCCTTGAATTATATGATGCCTGTTTCTCCTTCTCCCAGTCTAGCTGCTGCTTCTTTTCTTTTCTTTTTTATTTTTTAGGTAGGCTCCATTCCTAGTGAGGAGCCCAGGGCAGGGCTTGAACTCACAACCCTGAGATCAAGACCTAAGCTGAGACCAAGAGTCAGATGCTCAATTGACTGAGCCCCGCAGGTGCCCCTTTAGCTGCTATTCCTAATTGTACTTTATACCAGCTTTTAAATCTTGATGATCCTGAAATTTTACCCTAGGCTTTGCTTTGGCTTCATGATAATTCCATTCACACCTGTGCCTTAAATGAACAGTTCTGTGCCCTTGAATTCAAAATCACTGCCTCCCACTCAACCCTCTCTCCCGAGCCCCAGTGCCTACTGGGCATCCACAGCGGGATATCTTTCACATACCTTGAATTCAAAATCACTGCCTCCCACTCAACCCTCTCCCACCCCACCCCGCTTCCCCATTTCCCAAACCCATTCCTCCGCATTCCTTCTTTTGGGGAATGTTACACTGTCCCAGACAGAAAGTGACATCATCCGGAACACCTTCATCTGCCTCATCTCTTACCTCCACTCCATCCCCAAGTCCTGTCTCCCCTAATATTTCTTCCTTTTGTCCTGTCATTTATTCCACGGCCACCATCCTTGTCCAAGCCACCGACATCTTCCAGCTGGACCACTGCAGTATCCCCTCAAGTGCTCCCCGGGCTGCCACTGCTAGCCCACTGTGTTCTCCGTGCTGCACCAGTTAGCTTTCTAAAACCCCACCACGCCTGCTTTAATGCCTTCCTAGCCTCCCATGCAACCCCGTCTCTCTCACTGGCTCAGCCCGTGGCACTTCAACTCTCCCTACCTCAGTCTCTCTCACCTGAAAAGTGTTAACAATATTCCTCCCCCCACCTGCTATGGGTGTTGTGTCTTTAATAAAGGAAAGGAGAAATCAATATCAACAACCTCGTCATCCTCATCACCATCACTATAATTACTGTGGCATGCACTCCAACTTGTGAATTTTCCCTAGACCCTTCATAGCAAGCAGATTTTTAAATTTTATGAGAATGTCAAGGTAATTTTTCTTCCGAGAAGAAAATGACCAATATTTCTTAAAATAGCCCATCAAATTGACCTTCATAGGCATAGTGGACTAAAATCTTACATAATTACTAGAAGAATTGATCATATGTTTTGTAACATTTTTACTGTAGCTCAAGAATAATAAAAAAAAATACATGCTTTCAAAATGTGCTATCCACATTATAATTCACAGAAAGGAGAGGTGATTGCAGAAACTCAGACTCATGCTCCTGAGGTAATGAAAAAAATTGCCAGCAGCAAATGTGGATTCTTTTTTAGGTCAATGACAGGCACTTTTGTTGTTCTGAAGTGAAGGTCTGAGCTTCCATTGAGTTTTATATAATGACTTTTTTTCCTGTTGGAAAGCACAGAGGGCACATCATTATTAATTCAGTTTCTTTCTGAGCAGATATGGGCAAAAGAAGTGGCTGAATAAATCCGAATGCAGAAACATCAATAGGACCTGCTGTGATCTTTCTGTGGAAACTTCTGATTACGAACATCAATATTATGCCAAAGTGAGGGCCATTTGGGAAACGAATTGTTCCAAATGGGCAGAAACTGGACGATTCTATCCATTCTTAGAAAGTAAGTAACACAGTTGTCTGTAAACACGGATAATATCAAGTTCTCCTGACGATCGAGTGTACCGTCTCGGCCTCACCTCTCCGAGAGGCCCGTGCTCTGGGGGCTCTGTTCTGCACTCTGTCCCTCAGCTGCTCAAGTGACCAGCGCATGGTGCTCCACCTTGCTGGATCTCAGAGTTTCATCTTTACCATGAGCGGTTTTGCTCATTGCCAAACTCAGTGTCTTCTTGTTCTGAACTTGGTAGTGTGATGATGTATTTCCAGGTGTAACTCAGGGTTCAGGTAACATCTTCTTGATGTTTGCTTTTTAAATTTTTCCACCTCTTGTTCTGTGGCTGACTCAGCTGTAGAGGATCCATTCAGAGCTGCCATAATGAAGCTTACAAGTATTTCTCTGGTCCTGGAGCCAGAACCTATCCTCTGGTGCCCTTCTAGGTAAGACGTCAGCAAATTATGTGCTCAGACCAAATGCAGCTCGGCCCCCTTTCCATTTTTCTACGGGCCAAGAGCTAAGAATGATTTTTACATTTATATGAATAAGAGTTGCAGCAGAGATCATATGGGCTGTAAAGCCTAAAATACTTCCTGTCTGGACCTTTATGGTAAAAGTTTGTGAACCTCTGTTCTAGATCATTCTAATCACATCTTCAAAGTTATTTAACAGTGCTTCATTCCTCCATGGCTGATTTCCCCCACATATCAAATCATATTAATGTTATTTATCACCAACTATTCAAGTCACAGGAGGGTTGTAAACACTTTTAGTTGTATTTACCATCTGTTTATCCATGGGATTAGGCACTAAATAAATACAACACTTGAACTTTCTGTTTTCATATTGTGTCAGGGAGTGTGAAATGAATGTTTCAAGATGTGGCATAACTTGGGCTAACCTTAGAGCAATCTGAGTCATCTCAACTAAGGGGGCGGGGTGGGGGGGCTTTCGGGCTTTGATTCCAGTAGGATTATATTGTAGTTTTATCCACGGTGATTTTTACATCCGAACATGATGACTCCCTCTCCCCTCCCCTTTAAGCACAAATCGGCCCACCAGGGATTGCTTTGACGACAGATGAGAAATCCATTTCCATTGTTCTGATGGCTCCAGAGAAGTGGAAGAGAAATCCAGAAGACAGTTCTCTTTCCATGCAACAGATATACTCTAATCTGAAGTACAATGTGTCCGTATATAATACTAAATCTAATAGAACGGTAAGCCTGGAATGGAAGGGGGCCTATAATCTGTGTCACTTTCTGCAGCCCAGACACAGGGGAATCTGGGAAGATGTGGTATTCAAAGACATGTTAGACAAGATACAGTGGAAGCTGATATGTAGACATCTCAACAACATCCTTTGGATTTCCCTTACAGATAACACTCTCTGTCAGTGGGGTCTGATGTTGCTATTGGGTGTAGATCCATTGTCCACCTCACTTTGATGGAGAGCTTTGACTTGCGTAACATCTGTCAGTCACTCTCCAAGAGAGAAAAAAATGTCAGCAAGGACACAGGGCAAGGTTGAGTAAGAAATCTGTCCTTATGTTGTTGTTTAGACTTGTTCCCAGAATGGTTCCATTTCCTGACCATGCTCTGCTGAGCTAAAGGAAACGGGTATTTTAAAGCTATTGCCAGGAAAAAAAAAAAAAAAGCTTGTAGTAATAGGGAAGGATTTAGTGGTATCTCGGTGTTTTATTTCCTTCTAGAGCTATCTGTCTGGGGTGGTGCTGGAATTCTTTGACTCTAACTGCTGTTTGCCATTCCCCCCCCCCCCCCACAGTGGTCCCAGTGTGTGACCAACCACACGCTGGTGCTGGGCTGGCTGGAGCCAGACACTCTGTACTGCGTCCACGTGGTGTCTTTCGTCCCAGGGCCTCCTCGTCTTGCTCAGCCTTCTGAGAAACACTGTGTCCGGACTTTGAAAGGTAAGCTTAAAAAGTCTCAACTGGTCTGAGGAAAGAACTCTGAAGAAACTAGGAGAAGTGTGGCAGGTATAAACAAGGTTTTGCATCAACATGGATGGAACTGGAGGCGGTTATGCTAAGTGAAATAAGTCAGACAGAGAAAGTCCATTATCATATGGTTTCACTTATTTGTAGAACATAAGGAATAGCGTGGAGGACATTAGGAGAAGGAAGGGAAAAATGAAGCGGGGGGAGGGCGCCTGGGTGGCTCAGTTGGTTGGGCAACTGCCTTCGGCTCAGGTCATGATCCCGGAGTCCCGAGATCGAGTCCCACATGGGGCTCCCTGCTCAGCAGGGTGTCTGCTTCTCCCTCTGACCCTCCTCCCTCTCGTGCTCTCTATCTCTCATTCTCTCTCTCACAAATAAATAAAATCTTTAAAAAAAAGAACATAAAATTTATTAAAAAAAAATAAAGGGGGGGAAATCAGAGGGGGAGACGAACCATAAGAGACTATGGACTCTGGGAAACAAACTGAGGGTTCTAGAGGGGAGGGGGGTGGGGGATGGGTTAGCCCGGTGATGGGTATTATGGAGGGCACATACTGCCTGGAGCATTGGGTGTTAGACACAAACAAAGAATCATGGAACACTACATCAAAAATTAATGAAGTACTGTATGGTGACTAACATAACATAATAAAATAAATAAATAAATAAATAAATAATTTTAAAAAATAAATAAACAAGGTTTGGATAAATCCATGTCTACCAGAAACAGGTTGAGACAAAGGTAGAAACAACCATCACCAGAAATGCATTGAGCAGCCTGGGACTCTGCCATTGAACTTGGCCAGGATTAAGAGTATGTTTGCATCCTCCCGGGAAACTCAGCACCTATCCTGATATCTGCTGCCAACAGGCCTCTTCCATGGGAAAAAAACAATTAAGAATTTTTACACATATCTTTTCATTTTTTAATTATAGTCCCTTTCATGAAGAGAAGTTCTGTGGTCTTCAAGAACATCAAATGTTAGTGCTAGAAACAAAACATTTTTCCTAAAAACACTTGAAGACAGCAGCCTTTGCTCACCCTCAGGAATAAAATTACAGGCTCTGCAAGTTGCACTGAGATATCAGTCACTGGCTGCATGGACGTCTGGGATCAGCGAATCCACGGTTACCCTCACTTACATTGCTTCTCTCTCCTTCCTTTTGTCTTCTCATGTTTCCTGAACTTGGCTGAAGATTCTCACTCCTGTTCAGAGACATAGGGTTAGGAGCTTGGCATTTGCTTATTTGTGTTTCCCCAAGGGTTGGAGGACCTTGAACTCAAAGCCTGAACATTAAAAATTAACCCTAAAGTTGGCCTTCCTCAAATGGCCCCTCATCTATTGTTCTTCCGGCTCCCTCTTCCAAACACACTGGCCTAGGACAAATGTCACCCCTTTTCCCCCAGGCCAGTTCCATCGCCAACTATGGGATGGCCATGGTGACAGGAGCCCTGCTTTCCTCTTCCCTCACCCCGCACACAGCACAAGATGAAACCGTCCTAAGGAATCTAAAGGGGATATTGTGATATTCGAAAGTGAAAAGCTGTATTTTTCAGACTCTGTCCTTTCATACCTTCCCCTAAAATGAAGGATTCTCTGCCATATGTCAAATAAAACTGAAATGCAGAGCAAGCAAAAGGCAAAACAAAGCAGACTGAAGAAATCGTTTCTGTATTTGGAAAAAGTGCTCTGTTTACTAACAGCTTGATCAGCGGCCAAGTGGTAGGAATGAATTTCCAGTGGAGATCATTTAAGCAGTTGGCAGATTTAAAGCAACTCAAGTACAGATTCCATTAAATACTTCCTTTAAGAGATGCAGCCAACCTTCTCACTATAGTCTAGGAAAGGTGACAAAATAAGGAAGCATCTTTTCCGGGTCTCACCTTTTCCATGATATCCCAGCTGGACTACCTCTTCTGGAACCCTCTTTGAAAAATACTTCTACTCTCCACAGTCCGCCAGCCCTAAAGTATAATTACAGTTTGTTAGGTTTATTGTGGCAAACATGTCCTGCTGTATACTGAGTGCCGTCGGTCATTGTTGTCGTGGCATGTTTTAATTAGGGCAAGTTCAGTCCAGAGACCAGCGATGGCGTTCAGAGGACTAGGCTGAATCGCGGCCTCCTCACGGGGGAGGGGTGCTCAGCCACCTGCACCATCAGCACTGTGCTGTCTTCACCCTTCCGTGTGGAACCCAATGACACATGTACTCCTCAGGAGCTGTTTGGGTGGAAGAGGCTGCCCTTGGACCCCTGTACCTAGACTTCTCCCACTGGCTCTTGTTGACCTCCCTCATTGTCCATGACACTTCTCTTTCCGCTCTTTCACTAGATAGTTATCTGGAGAGTGACTTTATTGCTTTGTCTCAGGCCTAGGCATCAAGAGTATCCAAACAACTGTACAGATGAAAGAGCTCCCATGACACTCTCACTGAATTCATCAGTGTGTAAAGAATATGCTAGAACTTTTGCCATGAGTGCTAAAGCTCTTCCTTTTTCTACTGCTGTATTAGTCAGTACTCTCCAGAGAACAGAACCAACATATATATATGGAGAGAGACAGAGAGATTTATTTTAAGGAGATGGCTCACAATGACTGGAGGCTGATGAGCTCAAAATCTATTGGACAGTCCAGTAAGCTGGATATCCAAGGAAGAGTTACAGTTCTTGTCTGAAGGTCATCTGCTGGCAGAATTCTCTTTCTCGAGGTGGTCACCATTTTTTCTACTAAAGCCTTCAACTGATTGGATGAAGCCACCCATATTATAAAAAGTAATCTGCTTTACTCAAGTCTATTCATTTAAATGCTAATCTTGGGGCACCTGGATGGCTCAGATGGTTAAGCATCTGCCTTCGGCTCAGGTCATGATCCCAGGGTCCTGGGATCGAGCCCCACATCGGGCTCCTGGCTCAGCAGGGAGCCTGCTTCTCCTTCTCCCTCTGCCTCTCTCCCTGCTCATGCTGTCTCTCTCTCTCTCTGTATCTCTGTGTCTCAAATGAATAAATAAAATCTTTAAAAAAATAAAAAATAAATAAATGCTAATCTCATCTAAAAATGCCTTCTCAGAGACATGTAGAATCATGTTTCACCCAATATCTGGGTACCATGGCCTAGCCAAATTGGCACAGATAATTAACTATCACAACTTCCAGGATCCTATAGGAGACCAACAAATAGAAATCAGTCACACTGAGTCCTATTCACAACTGTATAGTCTGATCAATGGCGGGCCAGCACTGCTTCCTTAAAAGCTGTTCACCAGGTCTTTTCATTCCTGTATGGACTTTTACTTGTCACGAACCTGCAGCACAGCAGCACCTGGAAGGAAGTCACTGCCGTTCTCAGCACACACCAGCTCAGCCACCTCCCTACACACATCTCAATCTCCAGGCCTACCCAGAAAGTCTAGCTGACCCACTCAGGGATGGTTCTGTTAGCCACATAGAAGGTGACACCACACATTCCCAACTTCTACTGAATATTTGGAAATGGTTGAGTCAAATGAGTATATGGAAATTCAGGGCAGCTTAATAGGATCATATCAAGAGGGCTTTTTTTTTGCTTGGTTTAAAGTGTATAAGTTGCTGGAATATTAGACACACTTAGCTTCAAATATAAGAACCTGAATGAATCTCACAGCCAGACATAAAATGTTGGACTATCTGCTGATTGGGTTGTTGATGCATCTACACTGTAAGGTTTGCAACAAGTCCAGATGAGTCCCGAAGACCAGCTCTTGTCAGAGAATAAGCATTCTGAGACCCTGTATCACTTTTCCTTTAAGCTTCTCAATTTATAAATGAAAAACTGAGCTCCTAATTGTAAGTGATCAGCCCAAAGCCGCCTGACATTGCCAATGTTTTCCCACCACACCGAATCAAAAACTCTCTATCTCTGTCCTTTTTTTTTTTACAGACCAAACGTCAGCATTGAAGGTTAAAATCATCTTCTGGTATGTTTTGCCCATATCTGTTACCGTGTTTCTTTTTTCTGTGATGGGCTACTCCATGTACAGATATATCCATGTTGGCAAAGAGAAACACCCAGCAAATTTGGTGAGTGTTCAGTGTGGCAGGAATCATTATAAACCCTCCCTTCCAGGCCAGTACAAAAGGAAGCTCAGACACAGATCCCTTTTACAGGCAGCGTGGGTTTAAAGAGTGGATGAATTAGAAAACACTTTCGTTACTAGGTTCTCTCAGTAACATAACCAAAGAGAAAGATTCCTCAGCTTTGAAAAGATTTCACGTGTCATGAGCAGATTAGACTAGGTCTTGAGGTACACAAATAAATTTAAGTTGGGATCCACACTTTTCCAGATGTTCAAGTTAAGTTGGGTACGAGAATTTCAAAATGATACATGAAGGCTATGATGAAAGCAAGCAGCGAGGACTGGGGAGGTACAGGGAGGTACAGGGAGAGCATGGAAACCCCGAGTCGGGGACCAGGAGAAGTTTTACGTCTAGCCTCGCTTAAGAAAGGGGAGAAAGAAGTAGAGCACCTACTGCTGGCAGAAAACCCAGCAGGGACCAAGGTGCATAGATGTTTGGAAAACCACATGATATTGCTGGATCATAGGTTGCTGATGAGGAGCTACAGAAGTAAGACCAGAGAGCAGGTGTTAGGGCGAGGTAATGGGAGAATCGGGTGTTATTCTAAGGAGTTTGGGCTTCGTATTGTCTTGGTAAAGAGAAATCTCTGTAGGGTTTGGAGTAGGCAGCGTCAAGGTCAATATCGTGTTTTAGATCCAGTTGGATAGTGGGTCTAAGACAATGTTGGAAGGTGTAAGACTGACTAGAAGCAATAAAAGGAGCTAGGAGACTGTGGCAGTTGTCCAAGGAAAGAAGGGGAGAATCTAAAAGGAGAGTGGGATGTAGAGCTTGAGACAGGCATGGAATGGGAGCACTTCTAGGAGGAAAATGGACAGGACAAGCATTCACAGCAAGGAGAGCAGGAAAATATTAAGAAGGAATAAATATGCTTCTGGAGGGTTTAGAAAGGCTGGGCATATTTTAACAATAAGAATGATTTATTTGCAAATTATTAAAACATGTTCACATAAACATGATGCATACATGTATTCCTGTTAGTTCGGTTTTAAATGTTTCTCTTATTCTGCCTCCTTTTAGACTTTATTTTTTTTATTTTTTTTTTCTTTAAAGATTTTATTTATTTATTTGACAGAGAGAGAGACACAGCGAGAGAGGGAACACAAGCAGGGGGAGTGAGAGAGGGAGAAGCAGGCTTCCCGCCGAGCAGGGAGCCCGATGCGGGGCTGGATCCCAGGACCCCGGGATCATGACCTGAGCCGAAGGCAGACGCTTAACGACTGAGCCACCCAGGCGCCCCTAGACTTTATTTTTTTTAAAGATTTTTATTTATTTATTTGAGAGAGAGAGATAGCAAGAGAGAGTACGACCAGGGAGGAGAGGGAGAAGCAGGCTCTCCACTGAGCAGGGAGCCCAATGCGGGACTCAATCCCAGAACCCTGGGGTCACGACCTGAGCTGAAGGCAGACGCTTAACCAAGTGAGCCACCCAGGAGCCCTCCTTTTAGACTTTAGAGGGAGCTTCCTAATGGCACAGGGAGACGTTCCTGGGAGAAACATTCAGAGGAGAATTGAGCACATGAGACTTTCTGAAACCAAAATGTTATAAAAGAATGAGGCTGAAGAATGAACAAAATTTACATTTTGTAAATGTTAAATCACATCATGGGGTGGACAATGAGGATTCAAACATAAGTCATGACTGGCCATCTCAACAGACACCTTCCATATCCCCAGCACCATTTTAATCTCAAACCAGTTTTCCTGACATGATTTAGAGTTTCTCTACCAGCCATAAACAGGCAGATGGATTTCCCTTTTTGGCCTCATTATAGTGGGATTAGAAAGGTATATGGGGAAATAAGTGAAACCATCCCTACTCCTGTGCCTCTTTCCTTCTTTACATCCAGTTTTCATGTCCATCCACATTTCATGTCCAGAGTATGTCCTAACCAGGCTGGGAACCCAGGTAACCACTGCTAGTTGACAAATACATAGTCAACAATAATTAACAAAGCAATTTCCAAACTGTCTCACTCAGCCCTCGCCACTTCTCACGTGGCAGAAATTCTAATTTTATACAATTAAAAACTGAAGCTCAAGAAATTAAAAAACTGCCCTGCATTCCATGGGCCAGGGAGGGGGTAGTCTACCCTGATCCTTGGACGGGATACACCCCCCCCAGGGACCACTGTTCACTTCCATAAGCCTTTGCGTGTATGTGTGTGTGTGTGTGTGTGTGTGTGTGTGTGTGTCTTGGGTCTCTTGCCTCCTTGTGAATGAAACTTTCTGTTTATTCCAAGAATAACTGTCATTTTCATGAGTTGGTAAGAATAGGTCTTTAGAACTATGTGATGACAGTATAAATTCTACTTAACAGCTGTTTTTCTTGTTTCTCTCAAGTGAAAAGGTGAAAACCATTCTCTTCTCTCTTTATAGATTTTGATTTATGGAAATGAATTTGACAAAAGATTCTTTGTACCTGCTGAAAAAATTGTGCTTAATTTTATCACCCTCAATATTTTGGAGGATTCTAACACTTCTCATAAGGATGTAAGTGTAGGGGAAAAAAGCGACGATGTATGGGACCTGAATGAGCCCCTCGAGGACCAGGAGTCACATCAGGAGGAAATGGAGGTGAAACACTTAGGGTATGCTTTACATTTGATGGACATTTTCTGTGACTCTGAGGAAAGCACCAAGGGTACGTCCCTAACCCAGCAGGAGTCAAGGGGCAGAACAATGCCCACAGATAAAGCTGTTGTTGAATACGAATATGCTGTGAGAACTGCTGACTTCTGTGTGGGGCCTGGAGATCAAGAGCTCAATCTGCAGGAGCAGGTATCCCTCCAAGGACAGTTCTGTAAGCAACAGGCAGCTTTGGTAGACCTGGGCTCCCAAACACCACTGCATTCCTATGCCCCTCAGCTGCGAGACTTGGACCAGCTGCTGCAGGAGCACGTGGACACAGCAGAGAAGCCAGATGAAGAGTCATCGACCACACTGGTGGATTGGGACCCTCGGACCGGCAGGCTCTGCATACCGTCATTGCCTAGCTTTGAACATGATTCACAGGGATGTGAGCAGCCTGAGTTCAAGGAGCTCATGGAAGGCCTCTTGTCTAAACTCTATGAGGAGCAGGCTCCAGATGAGCCATTGGAAGGAAACGAAGCCTATCTCATGAAATTCATGGAGGAATGGGGATTATATGTGCAAATGGAGGACTAACCCTGAACTTCCCTTTGTCACACCCCTGCTGTTAAAAGGCACATGAGTTCAAACATAGGAGTGACCAAACAATAAAGGACGTGAGATGAAAGAAGTTTACTCAGATTTTCTGTGTCCATGAGAATTACTTATTTCTTCTCTATTCTCATAACACTACTTGTTTCATTCTGCCTCATACGGGGGGTTGGTTCACGCATGTGGGTCTCTCACGATGATGGTGGGCACCTGGAATGCAGAGGCTGACCCACTGTTTTGTAGGCATTCAAAAATGTTTGCCAAATTGGATGAAGAATTTACTCAGGTGAGCGTGTATGACCTCTTGGTTGATTATTTTCAAACAAGCCTACTTCTGCATTTATTTTCTGGGCACTTACCAAGTGTATGGCACTGTAAAAAAAATATTTCATGAAGACTATTCATTTTATAAATACTCCTTTGTTTAGAATTTGGTTGATTGTCAGAGCGATGAGATACTTAAAACATACAAATATCACAAAATTAGTGGTAAGTTGGTGACATTTAAACCCAACCCACTATTCAAACACAATAATCCAAGTTCAGAATGAATAAATCAGGCACAGATCTTGATATTACACATTTTTGGCTACTTAAAGTGTCCATATTAATATTCTATGAGAACTTCTGGAGTGTTAACATAAATGTTATTATTATTTTGTAGTCAGAAAATGTCCTTGCAATAACTTAGTAGGCACTTTTAGTAGGGGACTAACCTGAAAGAAAATGCCATCTTTTATGCTACATAGTACATTTATTTCCGGAAATGTGTCTTTATTTTTTTTTAAGATTTTATTTAATTATTTGAGAGAGAGAGAGAGAGTCAATGCAAGAGAGCACAAGCACAGGGAGCAGCAGAGGGAGAAGGAGAAGCAGACTCCCCGCCGAGCAGGAGCCCAATGCGGGGCCCGATCCCAGGACCCTGGGATCATGACCTGAGCTGAAGGCAGATGCTTAACCAACTGAGCCACCCAGGTGCCCCTGGAAATATATCTTTAAAAAGATATTTACATTGTCTCTAAACTGCAATGTGTGTAGCAGGTGAAGCACTATGTCACTATTATAATATCAAATATTCTATTTGAATGAGCAATAATTCAAAGACCCCTTGGAGTATGTATGATGAATATCCCCTACCTACAGAATCTTAAAGTCAATAAACAATGATATACAAACAAGGATATACAAAATATACAAACAATACACAAAATATGCAAACAATATACAAACAAGAATATAGAAAAGAAAAAGATAGAATATGTAAGGGAGAATGTATTAAAATTCGCCACAATTTACTGTGGGAACTGAAATGTACCATAAACAATACCATCCTAGTTAATTTCCAGGAACTAGTCCCATCTTCTTCACCATTCACCTAGAAAGTTCAACTCTGTAGTGACTGCATTAATATGTGACAGAATTGATAAAGTTGGCCTATATAAAATTACGGACATTTGACAGTTTTTGACCTGCAGAAGCAGCAACATCATATTATTTGACCTTAATACATATTTGTTTTAATCATGAACTCATGATCCATCCATGCTCTTGCAGGAAAAAGATAACATCCATATTTCCTCGTTTATATTTTGGCACAAGCAGACAATCCTGGTAAGACAGATGGATTCTGGAGTCATGGTCTGTAGAGATTGTCCACAGGTCCAAACCATTTCTGATCTAATGATTTAATTTAGACTATAATTACATTAACCAGAGTGTTCTGTTCCTCTCAACTTGGTAGACATGATTCTGCTGGTTTTGAAGAACAAATTTATAATACTAACTGTAAAAGACATTGAAGAGTGGGAAAGAGCGAGTTGTTATTAAGAGCAGAGAGAAAACAAAGTGACTGGTGATAGTTTGGTTTATTTGTTTTAGTCACAAAATATTTACTTGAGCACCTGCTGTGTCTTAGTGTCCTCATCTATGAAATAGAGATGACAACTCATTTAGGGCTGTTTTGACATGAACAGAGTTGGAATACAGAAGACACTTAGAACAGTGCCTGGCCCGTAGTGAGCGCCATGTGCTTACTGTTATTAACTGCCAGAGCATGTGCTTAGTGCCAGAAAGACAAGCCATTTGGACATGACCATTTCAACTCAAAGCCCGAGTGTGCCTCACCTGGTTTTTCTTACCCCAAAGTGCCATCGTACTTTGCTTCCTACTTTATGCCTTCAGATTGAAATCATCAGTGGTTTTGTAAAAGGGAATCGAATTCTGAGTTGCTTTTACATCATTCTAAGCATGTCAGGAGTATTGAGCATTTCGAAAATTTTGTTGCTTCTACATCTTCCACGTTCCATAGGTTCTCCTCATGAAAACATCAATTCGTGGCCCCATTTCCAGAACCTATGAATTCTACGTTGGGTGAATGAAAATACACCCACTACAGAGTGAGCGAAGCCCATGTACATGGGAAGGAGGGACGTGGAAAGGGACACTGACCCCTCAGCCTACAACATGGGAAAGATCTGGTGACCCCAGGCTCAGCTAACTCCCAAAGAAATAGTTTTTCTCTTGCAGAGAAAAACTATTTGTACAGCCCAGAGCGCAGATCTATCCAGCATATGGTAAATTTAATGAGAACATTAAATAGAGGGCTCCATCAGCACAGATCAATGCAGCTGGATCATAAATCACATTCTTTCTGGCTCACACATTACCACCCTCACATCTTGAGGGGAATTTTTGCTAACCTATTTTGGAAGAACTGGTTTTCTCTATTTTCTTTGTGGTTCCTTTCATGGTATTTTCTATAAATCTTCTATCTACAGTTTTTTTTTTTTTCAAAGACTGTGCAAAAGCACGTGCCTATTGTTTTTTTACCAAAGAGTGCTATGGTTGTAGGTATTTTAATGGTTCTTGTTTTTCACTACAGGAGATAAACGTAGACATATTCATTGTAGAGTAACTAGAAGTGAAGGGAAGGGGGCTAAAAATTACCTGTCAAACCCCCTCCCAGTTTCAACCACTGTAAACCTATTAGGTAGAGAAATGCTTCTCAACTGGGAGTGATTTTTAGCCCCAGTGGACATTTGGCAACGGCTGGAGACATTTTTGATTGTCATGACTCAGAGGAAAGGTGCTGCTAGTGTGGGGACTGGAGCGAGAGGCCAGGAATGCTGTTAGACATACTAGCATGCACAGGGCAGCACCTCATAAGAAAGAGTTCTCTTGTCCAAAGTATCAGTAGTGCCTAGGTTGATTACCTTGGTGTCGAATTTTCCAGACACTTTCAAGTATATATGTGTATATTTTTCCCAAAAAGAGGAATCATACTGAACTCTTTTATAACTTGCTCTTTTCACTCAAAAAATATAACAAACTATCTTATTTTAACTCTACTTAGATTAACTTTATGAAGCCTCAGTCTTACACTAGAACTATTGAAATGGCAGATTATAAATTATTTTTTTCTAAATTCAATGATTTACAATGTTTTTAGTCAAACAGCCACCAAAAGTTGGAGTTATTAAGAGCAAAGAGCTGTGAGTCCTTTACAGATAACTGAACCTCTCCAAAATGTTATTTTCTGAAATCACTACCTCTGCGGAGCGGCCGGCTGATTGTTAGGTGGTCATTTATCTGTCCTTTGAGGTATTGGCTTCCCCTGTGCTTAGTTCTTACTACTCTCCTCCTGCAGTCTTTGGGATCTTCAGTGACAGGTGCTGGAAGGCAACCTTGGCTTTCACTATAAATACTGGATAAACATTCATCTTTATCACTGATATTCCTCCAGACTCCTTTACCTGCAGTAGCTGCAAGATTTCTTTCTTACTTTGTTAGTTTGAGTCTTCAACAGATTTTCCAGTTGGTGTTCATTTCTGAATGCCAGTAAGGATGCCAGGTTAATATTCCTATTGCTACATCCAAGGCTCTCTTCAGAAAGAGGTGAGAGCTGGTGTGTTTATGCAGATAGAGGGAGGCTCCTTCTGTCCTTAGGAATGGCTGCCTGCCCATGTTTGTCTCTGGTGCTTTGCTAAATTTGTAAGCAGATGAGGTATTTTCTCCCTTACCTTATCAACAGATTTCTTTTGATTTCTCAATCTCTCATTCTCTGGATTAGGTGGTACTTGGAGGTTCCCCACCAACTCAGAAAAATGGACATATGCCTCATGTTTATGTTTTCATATACAGGCCACTGGGACAATGAACACTAATGGGGATAAATACTATCCACCATCCACCATTTTTGTCTGTCCCTGGAACTGACATACGTGGGACATACGAATCTTAAAAGGCTCATATAGTTAAGATAGTTGACCTAATGGTCTCTCTTCTCATGAACTGCATTCCTCCCCATTCTGAAATTGATTCAAAATGCAGATACTTCAGAATATCTGATATAAGGGGGGGTAGAAATCGTGGGAATTTTAATCCCAATCCCCAAAAAGGAGGCATGCAATATTGGATCTTTATTAGATTTATTGGCTTTGTGCTTCTAAAAGAATTTATTAACAAAATTAACTAACAATTGACTAACTTACTAACAATTTGACTAACAAAGGTATATATGGATAAATGAAAAAAAAAGCCCTAGAACTTTTCAAATTGACTGAGTGATTGATTAGCAAAAGAATCAGTATGGTATACTGACTGAAAGTACAAACTGAAGCTAAGAAGCTTGGTTCAAAGTCCAGCTCTGTCTCTTCTTAGGCTTGTCTCTTAGGCAATTTACTTAACCTCTTTGGACCAAATTCCCTCATCTGTGAAATGGGGATAATAATTATACCTACCTCATAGGGTTGTGGGAGGTTTAAATGAATCAATACATTTAAAGTGATTAGAGAAGTACCTGGCACAAAATGAGAGCTTTATAAATGTCAGCAATGGAAAAAGCACCAGGAGGCATATATAAGAATTTTCATAGAAACATTATTCATTAAAAAAAAGAAACCTTGAAAAGCACTAATATCTATCAGCAAGAGAAAGCTGTGAAAATGAGTCAAGTACACCTATACGTGAACATGAATGAACCTCACAAACATGTTGAGCAAAAAGAGTGGTTCCTTGAAGAATATATAGAGAGGATAATCCTATTTACATAAAGATCCAAAACTTACAAAATTAACACTATTCTTAT